ATGGTGGATATTGAGACCTTTGGGCCATGAACTCTGAAATATGCATCTTCCAGAACTGAGCTTGTGACTGTTTGCACATGACCTTACAGCACATGCCTTCAGAGGATGCATTTAAGTTCAAGTCCTAACTACAGTGATGAATTCCGAGCTTTTTGTTATTGGTTTTCTACTTGAAAGACAAAAGGAGTTTTATACCCTGGTATTTGAGGTTCAGTTCAAGGGCAATCTTGGATGAATCACTGTTGGATAGGGAGTTTTGTGAGTGCTGGGTAGTTTGTAATATCCTTTAAAGAGTCCAACCAAGAATCTGCCTGACTGTCCACTGTCCATTCATCCATCCATCCATGTCAAGATTTACTAGTTCCTAGAAGGCACTTGGCACTGTTTACATGCTAGGGTTGCGATGATAAAGCATAGTAATAATCATCATTTATTGGGAACCTACTATAGCTAGACAGTCTCCAATATTCAAAGCGTCTTTGTGAGGTAAGAATTGCATCTGGCATTTTATGAGAACAGAAGCTAAGGTACCTTACCCTGCTCACCCAGCCAGTCAAGGTGGAGCAGGCCTGAGGTATCCTTGTGACATCAGGACCAGAGCAGCATTTCCTTCCATTATGTTAAATAGACTCTTCTATTTGCCAGGACCCAGGCCCACTTTAAAGTGCAGAGTGAGCATTCTGTGGCAGGGTCAGAGCTGGAACAGCCAGCCCCTCATTGGTCGTATCTTCTCTTCTTGGGGTATCTTCTTGCTATCAGTGAAACAAGGAAAGGGATATATGTACACAGGACGGAACCCCTGGAAGGCCCATCCACTCTCATTTCTCTGCTTTGCCCTTTATAGTCTCTCGGAACTTGAGGTTCTGTCCAGACTCACCCTGTCATTTGAAGGTGTAGGCATACAAATGGAGGTCCACTTAGTGAATGTCTAAGTGTTGAAAAGTTACAAATCAAGATAGATGTTAAGTACACTCTGTCTATTCTCCTACTGTGGCAAATACACCTTTGTGACTATCTAGAAGGCCAGGATTGAACTTAGATTTCTCAGGCTCCTCAGAGTTTAGTGCAGAAATTGACAGCTTGAGGAGAGCTGATCCTCAGCCCATCCCTCCACTTCTCTTACCATCTGGCTCCATCCCACATTGCAACGGGCCTCCTGTTCATGCATGTGGGTGCCCCAGCCAGGATAGTCATGCACGTGTATGGAGACTCATCCAAGCTCTGTCCACCCACTCTCCACAAAAGGCTGCTCTTGGGCCTGGAGGTACACCCACTAGAGGCGCAGTTTGCAATTGAGAGGATCAACCCTGGAGAAGAGCTCAACATAGACCCTGAAAGTAGGCTCAGGACTATTTGGGCAGGAAATTCTGGGATCCTGGGCACCTAAAGCATGTCTGAAAAGGAGGGACATGGGCCCTGCCCTTGACCTCGCAAACTTCTTGGGGGAGAACTATATAGCTAGAGGAGGGTTCTCTTGAGTGTGGGGTTTAAGGCAAGGGCCCCTCTTGCCCAGGTCTTAAGCAATACCAGTTCTGCCAAGTCAGAGGATGGAAGGTGCTGCAGAGGTCATATGATCCCCACTATCATTTTGTACAAGATGAGCCCAGCTAGTAGATCTCAGAGCTGTGGAGCCTTGGTGCCCCAGTTCCCCAGACAGTGCCCTGTTCTCATCTTGCACAGTGTGCCTGCCACTTGCATGTAGTTCCAGCAGGCTGGGTTTTTCTAAACATTATCCTAGCAGTGTTCTAGAGTATAAGGGCCTGAGGCTGGGCCCGTGTGGGTGGCTGTGGCTTACATGGACTCTTCTGCAGAGATGTGCTATCAGAATACAGTTTATACAAAGCTGTGAGCTTTGAGGACAGGCTCCTGGGGTGCATATCTCAGCAGCACCACTGACCTGCTTTGTGATTTTTCTTAAACTCCTGGAGCCTCAGTTTCTTCATCTGGAAACTGAGCTAAAGTGCTATCTGCTGGTAGAGTTGTGCAGGTGGAAAATGAAATGTTTGTAGAAGTCTTGGCACAGCACGTGGCTTTGCCCGTAGTGCCACTCAGTGAAGTACAGCTATTCCGATGGTGGCTGTTAATGTTATTGTTCTCCAGGAGCCCTGGGCCCCATTGAGCAGGGGCTGCTATCCCTCCCTCCATCCATCCATCCATCTATTCCTTTATTCAACAACTATCTGTAGAGACCTACCATGTGCTGAGTACAGTTTTGGGAGCTTGGGATTCACCAGTGAACAAGAGAAGCAAAATTCCTTGCCTTAGTGCAGCTGGCATCCTAACAAGCAGAGATAAATCATAATCACAATAATTATAGAAATGGTGTAGAAACTGATAAGTGCTATGGAAGAAAAGAAAAAGTTGATAGGAGAAGGGAGTTGGTCATTCCAAGGTGGTGTGTCATTTTAAATGGGGTGGTCAGGGTAGGCCTTATGAAAGAGGCCATTTGAACAAGGACTTAAAGGAGGTGAGGGAGGGAGCCATGTGGAGAGATGTAGGAGAAGAGCGTTCCAAGCAGAGGGAATAGCCAATGCAAAGGCCCTGAGGCAGAAGTGCCTTTTGCTCCAGGGACAGCCAGGAGGCTAGTGTGACTGGAACAGAATGAGTGTGTGAGCGTGTACATGCATGCAGATTGTAGATGAGGTCAGAAAAGTGACAGAGGCCAGATCATGTAGAGACTTATAGACTACTGAAAGGGCTTGGCTTTTGTTCTGAGTGAGATGGGACCATTTTGAGGGCCCTCAGGCTACTTCTATATTGTCAGTCTGGGCCCCCAGCCTCCCCCACCTTCTGTTCCAGGCTCCCGGCCCCTATCCATGTTGCATTCTCCTGCCAGCCACCATGCCCCAGAGTCCCATTCCCTCAATGGGAATGTCTGCCTCCAGCCAACAATCTGATTCATTGTATTCTGGAGCCCCTTTTTACGGAGGAGTGATGTTGCTGGTGGAAATTCAGTCATGGGGCAGGTCATGGGTGCTCACTTCATTTCTGAGGGGGGCTGGTTGTGGCCGCCCTTCTATGAACCCTGGTTCCACAGGGCTCTCCTCACTCTCCCTGGAGCCCGGGCCTGTGCCCTGGGCCCCTGGGTTCCTGGCTGCCTTTGTCCTGGTGAGGAGTGATAGAGGACAGGAAGATGGGAAGAAGATGTTCCAGGGCGGAGTGGAGGGCGGGTTAGGTACAGCCGGGTGAGGGGGTGTGTGTTAGGGAGCCAACAGGAAACAGGGCTGGGTTTTTGTTCTCCAAGCAGTTCCCAGTCATGGCTCTCCCATGGGGTTTCAGGGCTCCGTCTGAGGAAGCATTGTTCCTGTGGATGGTGCATTCGAGCCCAAACATTTGGCCAAGGCCACGCCAGCATTTGCTCTGCTTGTAACTGTGGCGCAGACGTCAGTTACCCCCCAGGAGATATCTGCCCTGCCCTTGGTGTTGGCCTGGACAGCCTTGCTGTCCTGGGGCTGGAAGGCTTTCCTGGGTCTTGTGCCAAATGATTCCCTTCGTGGCACTGTGGGTGGGCCCTGGGGAAAAGGGGAGCCGGATAAGCAAGGCCTGCTTCACCCACTGCTCCCAGAGGCCGAGGTGAGGGCTGGCCCTGGGTCAGAGGGTTTCCTGTTGAGTCAGAGCTCCCGCTGCTCTGCCCACCCCCTCCCACCCCCACTCCCGGTAAATGCACAGAACCCCCGCAGCTCTGTTTCAGGAAGAGCTGTGCCAGTGGAAACACCAGCACCCTTGTGCAGTGCGTGGGTTATCAGGGCTGCTCAGATGAGGAAGTCCTCACTCTGCCGCCCTGTTCTGCCCTTCCCTGCAGAGGGGAGGCCCTGCCCGTGGGAGAGTCTGGTTATACTGGGCAGTGCAGCTGACCCACCCGCCCCTCACTTCAGAGCTCTGAGTTTTGGGGGGTAAACAGAGGCCCTGGGCTCTGCTAAGGATAAGCTTTGTGATTAGGGAAGGACCCATTTGTCTTCATTTTCCCCACATCCCTTTCATCATGTCTGTGTGAAAATGAAAGCTGAAAGCTATTGTTTATTTAAAAGGCCCATTTACCTAACGCCCCTGGAATTTATTTGCTGGAGCGTTTTCCATTTTCATGTTCAGTTCAGACCTTGGCTACAGCGGAGAGGTTATGTAACCTGGGATGGACTGAATCCCATTGGCATCTGGGCACCCCCAAAGCACCGCCCCCTTAGCCATGCCTGTGAGGGGGCAAGCACCCACTGCATATTCAGTTGCCTCTGTGAGCTGCTGGAGGGAGGGAGCTGGGGAGTGGAAGGAGTTGAGAGAGGAAGAGTTGGCTGCTGTTGCAATGGAGTCAGGAGGAGGATTTCTTTTGGGAGCTGAATTCTCATGTCTTCTCTGGGCCTGCATCCCCCTCCTCAGCTTTAAACCCTCCTCATGTGCAAAGTCTGGGCCCTTCAATCACCCTGTCTCTGCACCTTAGCAAAAAGCCTGAGCATCATTGCCTGAGCCTTGGCGGGATTTGGGAACTGCTTCTGGCACATTCCTTCCTGGCTAGCCTGTGGAATCTGTCTCCACACTCCTATCCATCTCCAGCAGTAGTGGCCTTGAGGGCCTCCCCTGACTGAGGGCCACACTTCCACACCTATTTCCAGCCCAAGATCCCTTGGTTTCTACTCTGAAACCTGGTCTGGGTCTACATGGAGTTATTTTGACAGGGGACAAAGGAAGGGGTGTTGTCCTGGGTTATGATGGGCCAGAAGTTTAACTTGCTTCTGGATTTTTAAAGGAGGCAAAGACACAGAGTGGGTTTCAGAACCCTGACCTTAGTCAACTTAGTCGTGAAGAGGCCCAGTCAGATGGATGGCGGTGGAGGGAGAAGGGGGTGCAGCCTCTGCCTGCCCTCTACACCCCAACCTTCGGAGACAGTCAAAACCCATTCCTTCTTCTACTCTCTTTCTCTCCTCCTGCTGTGGCCTGAGATGTTTGTTCCCTTCACACCATTTTTCCGCTTAAAAATGCTTGTTAGCCCCCATGAAGAACAAGATAACTGTGTGTACTCCTGTATTAGTTAATACAGTGCTAGTTACTGTAACAAATGAACCCTCAGTTTCCGGCAACTTAACCCCCCAGAAGTTTGTTCATTGCTCTTGTATCAAAGAAGAATGTTCCTCAGTGGAGGTAGCTTCTTCCACATGGTGATTCTGGGACTCTGGTTCCTTCCACTGCTGGCTCTGCCATCCCTTAGGGGCCTCAGTCGTCTTCTTCCTGGAGGCAGGAGAAGAAATTGCCAGTGGAGAAGGCAAACCCACTTCTTAAACACTCCTGCCTGGAAAGACCTGCATCCCTTCCACTCACTCTCTGTTGGTGAGAACTAGTCACATGGCCACAACTCACAACGTAGTCCCACGTTGGGAGGCACCACGGTGATCACTCCACATGGCATCCGTGGTAGCACATGGCGAGAAGGGGATGTACTGGAGAGATGGTGAGAGGTGGAATCAGCAGGGCCTGGTGAGTGAGTGTATGTGGGGCAGTGAAGGGAAATCAAGAGTCCAAGCCCCCTCCCCGCCCCCGTCAGGTTTCTAGTTTGGAGAACAGGGTGGCTGGTGCTGCCACCCAAGGAAATGAAGTCTGCAGGAAGAGGGATGAATATCAAGAGGGAAGGCTCCTGTCACGTGCCCAGCATGGGTGGGTGCTGTAGGAAGGACTTGTGAATGCAGGAAGGAATAGAAGCATTAGTCAATGAACTTGAGTCCCTTCTGCCCATCCCGTGGAGGTCTAGTTGAAAAAAACTGGTAGCTGTACTCACAGCCTGAAACCACAACTCCTGAAGGATCAGACCAATCTGTTTGCAAGTACAAACCTAATAATAAGAATAATCAGGACAAAAAGCATTGTCAGTAACCCAGGAGGGGACGCCTCCCCAGGCACGGAGCCCTATTCAGTGTCAGGTTATCGTCTCTCTGGGCCTGGGGAGAGGCGAAGGCAACCCCCTGACCCAGGAGGAGGATGAGCGCCTGCCTGCCTTGGGCCAGCACAGCCTCCTCCGCTCTCCTTGGCCTCAGGCTCATTGCTCTAGGGGTGTGGCACCAAGAAGGGCTGGGAGTTGGCATTGCTTGGGCATCTGACCAGAGATAAGCAAGCTGCCCCCTCCTCCCCTCATCAGAAAGAAAGGGGGAGCCGGCTGAGGGCCAAGTCCTGGGCTGCCACTGGGCTGATCCAGGCTGCTGCTGTCACAAGTGAGATCCAGGAAGCCTGGGCCATCTGAGCTCTGAGTCACAGCAGGTCACTGGAGCAGGGGTTGAGGGTCTCTGAGGTGAGGGCTGAGATACGTGCTTGGCCCCATTCCTATCTAAGAGGTCAGACTGGCAGCCTTCTGCTCTGTCTGTTATGCCTTTCTATCAGCAGTGAGAAGGGATACCACCGGGCTTGGGGCAGGTGGGCTGGGGAGGGTGGAACTCACATCCCTGCCTGTGGGGGATCCTGGGCAGAGTGAGGGGAGAGTTTATGGCTGGAATTCCTAGCTGACATCTCCCATCGCTGTCAACAGCCCCTCTTGCCCCTTCTCCCTTCCTTCTGTTAGAGCCTAAGGAGCAGATTCAGTAGGAGGATTAAGATTTGACAGTGAGGAGCACATAGCATTTTTTAGAGCAGGCAGCCCATTGTGTAAGGAAGTTTGTTTGGTTTTCTTTTTAAATTTCTAAATAAAGCAAGAAGTGAAGTATTGAAGGCTGTATAGCAGAGGTTAGGGGCACAGACTCAGAAGCCAGACGGCCCAGGTTTGAATCTAAATTCTACCACTTACAACCTTGGACAAGATGCTTAACTACTCAGTGCCTCAGTCTCCCCACATGTAAAATGGTGATAACACTACCTACCTCTTGAGGTCATTATGAGGGCTAAGTGAGTTAACATTTATAAAATGCTTAGAACAGTACCTAGCACATTATAAATGCCATAAAGTGAATGTTAAATTTAAAAAAAATTAAATTTAGGGACTGGCTGGGTGGTGTAGTGGTTAAGCTCCCATGCTCCTCTTTGGTGGCCTGGGGTTTGCAGTTCAGATCTTGGGTGCAGACCTACAACCTCTCATCAAACCATGCTGTGGTGGTGACCCACATACAAAATGGAGGAAGATTGGCCCTGAGCTAACATCTGTGCCTTAAGCAAAAAGAGGAAGATTGGCAACAGATGTTAGCTCAGGGCCAATCTTCCTCAACAAAAACAAAAAATTTTAATGTAATTGAGGAGTGGGTATATAGCAGAGGGGTGGTGACTCCTAGTCTTCCCCAGTCTTCTCCCTCAGGAATCTCTCAGTCCTTTCTCTGAGAAGATCCGCTTCCTTGTTTTTGTTTTGTTTTGTTTTGTTTTACCCCTCTGCAGCTATGGAGTAATGATGATTATCCCCTGTAGTACCATTTCTAGACTCTGGACAATGTAGTGCACTGCTAGCGGAAATGAATAGGAATAAAAACAGTTTGCAGGAGCCATGCTAGACAGTTTGCATAACTTGCTTTTAATCCTAAAACAAAATACAGAGCTCTGACAGTTGGAGATGTTATGTCCATTTTACAGATGAGGAAACTGAGCCTGACAGTGAGTTTCCTAATTTGGTCCAGGACTCAGACCCTAGTTTATCTGAGGCCCTGCTCTTTCTACAGTGCCAGGCTTCTCCTGTCCCTGCACATGCTGTTGCTTCACTTGTCAGTGTTGATTGTGTATTATCCTCACATTTGATCTCAGGTCGATCACAGTGTCTATTGAGCACCTGCTGAATGGTGAAACTATAGGAAAACAGAAGATAGCTATGGGTTGGGCAGTAATTGAGGTTCAAGAGGAATCAACTGAGGATTGACCTAAAGTGCTGTGTGATTAACTGTCAAGTTCCACATTACTTCCTAGCAGTGCTTCTGGGGTCCACGGGGGAGCCCACACAGGGATCTACAGGCATTGGGGAAGGTTTCCCTAATGGAATATGTAGTGCAGGCTGTGCCATGAAGGCTGAGCAAGGTGTTAGGAGGGGGAGGCCCTTGGAGCACATGGAGAGGAGGTGAGGGCTAGGTGGGACCAAGATCTCGATAGGCAGGGGGAAAAAGAATGCTGGAATAAGGTCACAAAGTTAGATTTAAAATTGATTAGTGTCCTGTGGAGCAGTAAAACTGAAACCTTTGACAATATCTTTCCACCAGACAGAAACCCTCCCCAGATTAGCAGTGGTCCACAAATCAGCATCTAACTTTCCATAGGTTGGGCTTTGTTTGAGAGTAAATAGTAATCAGAACAAAGATCTTGTCCTAGAGAAGCACATGGCCCTTAGATATTCTTGCCAAACAATGTTCTAGTATGATGATGAAAGGGTACCCTTAATGTTTTTGCCTTGTGTCAAATTTGGAAGATTTTTGACCTTGAGAAGAGCAGCAGCAGCATCGTGGTTGAGAGAAAGCCAGGTTGGAAGGGGGAGACAACCGGGTCTCCAAACGTGTGGGAGGCTGGTAGGAGCTGGGAGCCTTGGAGGCCTGAGTTTTGATTGGTGGAGAGAAGGCAGACCCCAGAGGGCCACAACTGCACCAAGGGGACAGGCCCGTCCACCCCAGTGCAGGATCAGCAGCCCTCCTGTGGCCAGTTCCACCACCAGGCCAGACAGTACCCTTGGTACCCAAGGGCCAGGCTCGGGGGGAGAAGAAAACACAGTGGGAAAAGGCAATAGAAGCAAGAAGTGAGGATATCAGGGAATTCTGATGGCAGGTGACCAGATCGGAGTCTGAAAACTGCACAGAAAACACGAGGAGGATTGAAAGCAAACAGACTCTGAGTTGAGAAACTAGTTCTCCTCGTCCCGAGTACACAATTCAGAGAATCGCACAAAAGCGTAAACACTGCAAAACAAATTTAGCTCTCTTTATTTTAGTAATCAGAGGTGGCCCTGGGAATGCTGGTCAGAGCAGAGTTTGATTCAGATCCCTTTGGCCTTGCTTGGCTTTTCCTCTGTGTTCGAATGACTTGCTTAGTCTGCTTCTCCATCCATTCCTTTCCTGGCTTGATGCTTGGGTTGTCAGCTTGATGGCCATGTACATATGAAGAAAGCTACAGGGTGGTTTCCTGCCACCCAGTTTTTGAGAGTGTTCTCTTTGTCCCTGTGTGTGGCATTGGAAGTAAGCCCAGCCCAGCCCTGAGCCAGGACCTCTCCCCTTGTGGGGTTCAGTCTACCTCTGTGCCCAGGCCCTACAGGTGATCAAAGCTCCATCGCCTTGTGCTACCGTGGCAGGAAGGTGGAACCACTGCTTTCTGGTTGAAGATGGTTTCTTTCTTCCATTCATTCATTGATCCATCTGTCCAGTGTGTTTGAGCACCCAACATGGGCCAGCATTGTGCATGGTGCTATGGATACTGTGCTGAGGAAGAGCAGATGGGGTCCTTGCTCTACTAAAGGTTCCGCTATGAATTACATATCTCTGGGATAAATGTCTCCTTCCGGCTGTGATACCTGCCATGAAGAAACATGTCCCTATTAAAGTGTAGCCGGATGTTACATAGGACGTTCTCTTGTCAGTTTCCACGGAGCCCCAAGAGGTTGCGAGTTTTTCCCACATCCTTAGTCTGGATGCTTGATGACCTATAAGGACTTGGAAAGAGAAAGCTGCCACTCAGTTTGGACCCCTGGTCCCTTACCGATGTCCAAGGTACAAAGGGATTGCCATTAGAGAGGCCCAGGAAGTTGGATGTTGGAGAGAGGAGGTTTTAGAGAAGGCTGATGGTGTGGTATGGTGGTTTCCCACCTGAGCCTGTTGGAAGAGAGAAGAGAGTGCATCCCCCCAAGCCGAGATAAAGGAGGAGACCACTCAGAGCCCTGGCCTATGCATCTTCCCGAGTCTCAGGGCACAAAAGTGAATGTCAGGCAGACAGCTTAAAGAGGGGCTAGTGGAGCCCTGAGAATGTCTTGCCCTCCTGGAGGAGGACGTGTGAGTGCATCACAGGGAGAGAGCTGGCCCACTATACCATCCTGAGCCATTTAAAAGGGATTTTACCTTGGGTGACCCCGGGGAAGGGCAGTGGTACCATAACCAAAACCCGAGGCCCCTGGGGACAGTCAGAAGAGACCATGTGCCCTTCTTAGCTGCAGGTGAGGGTCTCAATGCTAGGGAAATGCCAGGGAGCCCTCAAATGAGCCTGAAAAAAGATCAACTAGGAACACCCATCAAGCCTAGAGAGGTCAGTGTGCAATGCTGCCAACCCACAGAAGTGTCCAGGGGACAGACAGCTTTGAA